TTATTCTTTTTTTTTTTTTTTTAGTTTAAAGAAAACTCTAAGGACAATGACGCTGTGCTTTTGTTATATAAGTCAGCCAGCTCTTCCGTTTCATAGAAAACTAAATTTAATGAACGTTGGGTTGCCTTTCGTGGACTTAATTTCCCAAGCTATACCATTAACTAGCAAAGTTCTTCTTCTTCTCTCTCTCTCTCTCTCTCTCTCTCTCTCTCTTACAGTTCAATACATCTCTCTCTCCCGGATAATCATGCTGTGTCTTTCTTGAACTTTTCTTTTTTTTGTTCAGGTGAGTTTTCTTTTGTTCTTTCATGATTTTTTCAGCTTCTTGATTTAATTTCTTGTTTGTTTTGATCTTGCTGTTCCTTTTGGTTATCTGTTTCTTGTGTTTATCTGATATGCTTCAGTTCGCTGATATTGCTTTCTTTTGAAAATGATTCGTGATCTAACTCAACATTTCCAATTAACCCCAGTTAAAAGTTTTAGATTTCTTCATGATTTTGATGTTAATCTCTGTTATTTTTCTTCATTTCAAAGTGAAAAGGGAGTCATGATTAGCTCCAAAAAAGTGCAAATGATGTTCTGTCCAGCTACTTACGAGAGGGGGAAAGGTTGAAATAATTATAAGAGAAAAGAAGAAAGGGTAGGGAGGAAATCAGTTTTTGTGGAGATTGTTAGATGAATGACACACAAAACATTAGCTGTAATAAAACTCGTAGGCTCCATCTTCACTTAATTTATATGGTACCCATTTTTCTTCTTTGATCTTTAATAGTCTCTGTCTAAGTATGATTAGCGGCTACTATGTTTCTAGTATTGATAGTTTTTTTGTAGTAATTTCTGTTCTTCTCTTATGAACTTCTCTAAGTGTTGGGGGCTTTTAAAAATGTCCAAAGATTTAAGTACCCATATAATCGTTGCAAAAGCTTACTCAGTCTCTGGATCCTGTTTAATCGCTGTGGTATCTGGCTTAAGTACCCGAGACTAATTGTTTTTCTGATAATTCAGGTTTATTGGTCTTGGAAGTTGTTTATATCAAGCACGTGACGGTTGATATAGAAGGGTTGTTCACCGGCAGAGCAAACAGATATGACTTGTTTTTCTTTCTTATTTGGTCGGCGGATAGATACTCCGCAACAATTTGGTGTAGTTGAAGAAGGTAGATACAAAAAATGTGTGGATATGTGTGTTATACAGGGCCAGATTTAAATGTATCTTGTCAGGCGAAGCCTCTAGAGAGACTTGCTTTGATGGGGCCATAGCTTCCATATGCTTGAAATAAAGTTTTCCTCTTACTACACATCTTTGTTTTTCTGTCAGCATGAAGGTTCTTATTAGTTTTATTTCTGAACAGACCTTAGCCACGTTCAAAATGTTAAATGCTATTCGTACAAGGAACTAAGAAATGCCACTGAAGATTTTAGCACTGCCAACAAAGTTGGGGAGGGAGGTTTCGGTTCTGTATACAAGGTAACTTTATGATTGTTATTAGAATGCATGGTCAATGATATAACAGTAGTTTATATGGTACATTTGTGTCTTTTAATTATGAATGGTACCTAAGAAATGATTGTGGATGTTCAGGGACGGCTTAAACATGGGGAAATAGCTGCTATAAAAGTTCTTTCAGCCGAGTCGAGACAAGGGGTGTCAGAATTCTTAGCAGAGATTAAAACAATGTCGGAGATAGAGCATGAAAATTTAGTGAAGTTATATGGCTGTTGTGCTGAAGGAAATCATAGAATTTTAGTTTACAACTACCTGGAGAACAATAGCCTTGCGCAAACTCTTCTAGGTAATTCTTGAATATCCTTCTTTTGAACGTCTTTATCAAGGCTGTTTTCAGTAGTTTATACCTGGGAAAATAGTTCTGGCTTTTTGAACTTGGATTTCCAGAAGTAAACTTGGTATTGGTAAAACATTTATGCATAGGCGTACAAATCCATATGATTTAAAGAAAGCTTGCTTTTATTCCCTGAATCAAATGGCATTTGAGTGCTCAAGTATCTATTCACTTTCAGGTGGAGGTCACAGTCACATTAATAATATCCAGTTTAGTTGGAAAACACGAACTAGGATTTGCATTGGGGTTGCAAGAGGGCTTGCCTTCCTTCATGATGAAGTAAAACCATGCATTGTCCACAGAGATATCAAAGCAAGCAATATTCTACTTGACAAAGACCTAACACCAAAAATTTCAGATTTTGGTCTGGCCAGGCTTATACCTGACCACATGACACATGTCAGTACACGTGTGGCTGGAACACTGTAAGTGTCTGCGATTTATTACATGTTTGAAGTTGAATATTTCATGTTCAACTTGTCATTGGATTTAAGATGTAGCTATGCTGTGCAAACAACGTATATGGAGGGGGGGAAAAAGGAATAAATTAAACCCATTTCGTTTTCCTTGAAAATGGAAAATGTACAATGGTTGGTGAGTTTGCATTTGCAACATCATAGCCATTTTCCCACACTAAATACTTCTATGTCAATGAATTTAGTTTTCATACTACCTTTTGCATTAAAGGTTATAGGAAATATTGATTTGGTTGAAATGATGCAACGACTAACCATACTTCTTTAACATATATAGAATCATTGCAGTTTCCTTTTCACAATGCTAGCCCCCCCTGAAAATCTTGGTAAATTAGTTAATTCGCAGAGCCAAAATTCAGTTGTTGTCTTTCTTGTTTAGATTTCCAATACGCTGCCCTTTTATAAGCTTAGGATCTGTACGAAGCACTATTCAGCTTCTGTGAAGGGTCTTACTTTTAGTATGAATTATCTTTATAAGCTTAGCTGCTAAACTTTCCTCTCTGTTTGTTGCTTTAGAGGTTACCTGGCACCAGAGTATGCAATAAGGGGGCAATTGACACGGAAAGCAGATCTCTACAGTTTTGGCGTCCTCCTTGTGGAAATTGTTTGTGGCAGAAATAACACAAACACAAGATTACCTGTTGCAGAACAATACCTCTTAGAACGGGTATGAATCTCGAGTCCTTGCTGCCATGTTTGAAAATTGTAATTGAAATGTGAAAAGTGAGATGTCAATGCTATTAGTTGATGGTGTGAGCTATGAATATTTGATTATGGTGCTTGCTGTCACCAATCATTTTTCTTGGCATCCAACATTGACGTAGAGAATGCATTTACATAAATAACCAACAATCAGGATTAACTCACACTTGGGGCCACAAGCTGACTTGATCATTGGTTCTACTGTTGCAGGCTTGGGATCTTTATGAGCGAAGGGAGCTGGTTGCTCTGGTGGATACGGCATTAGATGGTGACTTTGATGCTGAGGAGGCTTGTAGGTTTCTAAAAATCGGTCTACTCTGCACCCAAGATAATCCAAAGCTTCGGCCTTCCATGTCTACCGTAGTCAGAATGCTGACTGGCCAGAAGGACCTTGATGAGAGAAAGATAACGAAGCCAGGCCTAATTTCTGATTTCATGGACCTCAAAGTACGAGCACCCTCCAACACCAAAGCATCTGCTACAACATCGTTTAATGCATTTTCTGGATCAGAGATGCTGGACAGTTCGATCTTGTCATCAGAAAACTCATCAACCGCAACTCCTACAACTTTGACCGGGTTTTATGGTCGGAGCATTTGAACTTCTGGATTTCATGGACCTCAAAGCATGAGTACTCTCCAAGACTAAAGCATCTGCTGCGACATCCTTTTAGGCATCTTGCAAATCAGAGATGCAGGAAATTTCGATCCTGTCATCACAACACTCATCAAGCACGACCATGACGCTTTTACTGCGATGTATGATTGGAGCATTTGAACTTCAATGTGAGAAAAATTCCGATTGCATATATTTTACTCCATTTTTTTTTATTTTCTTTTACTAGACTTGTAAATTTTATAACCATCCCTTATATACACAGGTACACAGTTTTGCTATTCTGTTGTAAATGGACAAATTCTTGTAATGTTTATAAATAATTGCACAAGGGTTTGGTATCTCTCTTTTTCTCTCGTCTCCTCGCCATCTCCCTCATTTACTTCCCTTCTCTCACTCAATTACACCTCTGGTTTCTCTGTCTGATCCAATGTGATCAAGTTACCAAAAATCTTGAATTGTGAGCAATTTCATAACATTTTCAAATTCCAAATGAGTTGCATCTATGGTCCTAGGTGTTTCACAATCCTTTGGAAATGATAGTTGATGATTGGTAAAGGGTGAAAAGAGAATTTGTTGAATAATGTATCTAGAATTGATAATTTGTTGACAAAGATAGCTCTTGAATGATAAAGGGAAAAATATTTTGATCATTCTCATTCTCATTCTTAAATAAACAGCATGAAAGCAGAATCTTAGGTAAATGAGAAATTTATTGAAATGGAAAATTATATGTACAAAATATTGAAAATTAGTGCAAAAAGGGCTAACATTATGTGCTGCTTGTGCAAAATGTATCTTGATTTTTTCTTCCTTTGATGGGATGGGGGTTATTCTGACATTGACAGAACCTATGACCAGTCGCATGCTGCAAGGTAACAGCATGTTACAAGCTTGAAAATTACACCAGACTCTGGTAAAACCCATCTGTCCTTTTTCGTTTAGCCTCTAAAACCCAGCTCAATTCCTCAAATTTGGCTTTGCTGGAATCACCAAACCACATTCCACTGGTGAAACAGGTGATCTCGATCCAAACCAATCACCCCCACAACAAGGGAACAAAAGCACAGTTCCATTTGGTTGCAATGGGAATTCATTCAAGTTGATGCTCTTCGCCATTGCTTCTTCCCTTTCTTTTGGGGCAACTTAAAAGGACTCCAACTCTTTCTACGTTTGGAGGTCTCACAAAAACGGCCAAAAGCCCGCTGAAGCCACACCTCAACTTCTTCTTCCTTCTCATCCATCATTTCAGCATCCAAATCCCACGGGTATTTGCTTGAGTTGGACCATTTTGTCTTCTCCAAGCCAACCATGTTTACATGGAAGCTTGGCCTATGGGTGTTGGGCCTGCATTGCATCCCCTGTAAAGAGTTTTAATGATTTAGAATATTGGATTATAACTGATAATCTGATTATAATTAATTCAGTCAACGTACAAGTTATAGGCACCACTGATGCGACTGCCATGAGGAATTAAAAGATCCGGTCATCAATCATTTCCATTAATGAAATAGGAAATAATGAAATTATCCGAAAGTCTACAGTATGAGAAAATGGTTTGAAATAATGCCAACAAGGCAAGGTACTCTTTGCTGGATCATAGGATCTTGTAAGCTGACTATCTCCCAGGTGGGAATCTAACAAAGAGGAAAGAGCAGCAAGCGGCTGATTTTTTTGCCATGTCTAATTGCTCTCTCTTTAATTTTCAGAAAGCATATCAGAGAAATTAAAACCAGCTATCTCAAAAAATCCATTACCCTAGGATTCGGATTCAACAGTTTTGTTTTTATCGAGGCTATTTGATGCTGCCTGCACAGGCAGTTAGAAAATTCAGTAATTTTCCTGCAAAGAGATATACTTTCTAGCAATTTAAGAATAACAAGATTTAGGTTTCTCTTTCCTAGTGAAAATTAAAAAAGTTATACATTTCTTATTTAAGAGCCCAAGTCTATGATTAGTAATATGCTTTTATCCTTTCAATTTCTGCATGAAAATATATTATGAATGAAGTGCAGCCCCTAGATCGATATATTTCACAGCTGTAGCCCTAAAACAGCCGTCCACAACTTCCACTAAAGTTGTCCTGCACCCCAATTAATGTCTTATATAGCCCCAAGTTCAGATTGGCAAATTAGCTTGGAACTGTAAATTTCACAGAGCAGAACCACCGTAGTCATTACCACAACTGATTTTGTAGTCATTAATTGTAATACTTCTTTTTTTCTTCAGCAAGGTTCAAATGGGATCAGCAAGGTTCAAATGGGATATTGAAAAGAAACAAAATCAGCACATGCCCATGAAAAAAGAACAACAGACCTGGCAAATAGCCCATTCCGACACATCAAAGATTTTGCTCTCACCACAAACATATGCACGCGGAATTTCCATCTAAAAAACAGGAACTGAAAATGCTTAGCATAATGAATAGTTGACAGATGGCAGATCACCGAAATCACATTCACAAGATAAGATCAGATGATTCTGTCATATTTAGTGAAACACAGATGAAATAATGAGTAATCACAAGGAACATTCAGATCACCAAAACCACATTCACAAAATAAGATCACATTATTCTGAAGAATTAACAGACATGTTTTCTGAAACATAGATGAAATAATGAGTAAAATCACGAGGAATGTACCTTCTGAGGCCTATCAAAGATCAATGAGCCTTTATATTCAACCCATCCATCTCCATCCTTGGCTTGATGATATTGGCGGCAATCCTGAAGCAAAAATTAATTCTAATTTATAAATTTAGAAAGATGAAATATAGAGTTGGAAAGAGGATCAGAAAACCAACCTGGCACCATCTTGCCTTGGTCTTATTCTTATTAGTACACACCCATATATGTGAATTGCCACACTTGGTGCACTGTATCCACCTCGATTCCTCAGAGCAGTAATCTGAATTATCCTGCTTATAACAGTAATAAGATTAGAAAATGTCGCAATCAGTGATATTATTTATTATCAGTGATTTAACTCAGAACCATATGAATCAGTTCTGCATTCAGCTGCACATAACTGCCATACATAGCTTGTGGGCTCGGACTAAGGAGGCAGGTTTCCCAGATTAAACACACCTATTACTACTTTGACCGATCTTACAATGCCTTGCCATTTTACAACTAGTGCAAGCTCATGATCCTAGAGTTCACAATTTAATTATTTGATCTCCATTCTACCTCAGAAACAAACAACCTACAAAAGTGCCAAGTGAAACATAAAAATCCTTGTAAACAATACTTTCAAGTTTGTAATAAATTGCACCTCAATTGATTCTTTCACAAACAAAAACACATATCATTATCCTGTTCTGGTTCCATCGAAGCGTGGTCCTGGGGTGGAAATCTGGATAAGCCTACTTTCACCATTTTGCATGAAGTAATCGCTCTCAGGAATCAAACTTCAACCCACAATGGCGGCAAGTCAAAGATAAGCCATTGCACCAAGCAATGACTCCCCAAACATGAAAAGACCTTATTCACAACTCATTGCACATGATAAAAATGCATCAATGAACTGTGAACATGAAAACAAAATTCCATGTGGGGAACACTAACAGTCAGTCTCCACAAATGGTTGTTTTATTCTTTTACTCTTTTTTTTTCCTTTTAGTCAGAAATTTCACATCAATGATAATTGGAAAAAAAAAAATCCAAATATTGACCACAAGGCAGAAAAATACATTGGCAAGCAATACCACATAAATTACCTGACGTGAAGTACTATGGGATTTCTGGCATACACTCCTAGTCCTAGATTCTTCCTTTCTCAATTGCTCATCATAGTCCCTCTTCTTCACAGAATCAGACAAAACCTGGACATTGTATCCTTGTGGTCAGTCAATAAGACACAAATCAACACATTCTTACATTTATTATGTTTTATCTCCCCTAACTTTCTTGAGAGAGAGAGAGAGAGAGAGAGAGAGAGAGAGGACAGCAAAGGATGCTTACCTCATAAGCACATTGAAGTTTCTTAAATGATTCACTTGCTAAAGGGCTTCCCATATTTTTATCAGGATGGACAAGCATGGCCTGCATATTTTAAAGGATAAAGAGAAAATCAGAAACCCCATTCACTCATCCCCCCTACTTTTTCTTTTCCCATGGGGCAGGGGGATAATGTTAAATTCACACAAACATAATAGATTTATACATCAAGAACAACCTGACACCACTCCACAACATAAAGATTAGTAGACGGAACTAGATTTTAAAAATACAAGGGCTAGCATGAAAACAAGAGGGACCTGAAAACATATATTTTTCTTTTGGAGGGTGGGATTGGAGGGCAAATGTAATAACAGGATGATTTAAGACTTCCTCAAAGCTTGGGCAGGGCATAAGCTAGTTCCACCCGTGCACAGCAATTCAAATATCTCACTGGCATTTTAACCAGCCATGAACACAACCATGCAAAATCAACAAGCAGCTTTCTTGGCCAATCAAGGGACAGGTCCCTGGCATGTCTGATATGAATTCTATGAAATATTAAGTAACAAAAAATGACAGGATATTGTACCGCCCCTAACTTTTCTCTCTGGCAAGCCTTTTTACTGCAAGCTGAACATAATGGTTTTTGTGATACATTAAGAGTCCTAATGTAGTATTCTGATATTTAGGTTCTTTTTGTTTACTGTGACCATTTTAGATACCTGGTGAGATTGTTGTGGTATCTCCTTTACTTGCACAGAACAATCAATAAGATGCAAAACTTTTGAGAAATGATCCAACCAGATCAACTTTCCCGAACACTTTGGTCTCTCAGAGTGAAAACACTAGAACAAATCAATTAAAACGGTTACTAGTATTTCAGTTCAGAACAAAAGTGGAACTTACCTTTTTCCGGTATTCCTTCTTCAAAATTGCAACATTAATTTGCTTGTGGCGAGGAAATCCCAGTGCTTCATAATGACCTCCACTATCTAATATTCTTTTCATCTCATCAGCTGAGCTTGTTTCTTCTTCTACAACTATGTTTCTAGCAGAAGACTCTTTTTGGTTATTCACAACAGATGCGCTTGCAGCTGGTTTGCTAGATGATTTGCATGACTGCACCTTCTCAGATTCATCAGCAGGAATCGAGAATTCACATTCCACAGAAAACTCATCTTCCAGAACTGTTTCAGTTTCCTTATGTTCTTCAAATTGGGTGCTTTCCCTGACATTATCACACCATTGAAGCAGGAAATTTAAAATATCATTTGAGAAAAATGTTAGGTTTATTGATAGGAAAACACCATGCCATCCAACTCGAACTTTCACACAATAAATAGCATATATAGTCGCCATTAAGACTACTAGCTGTGCATGATTTTGAGAGAACAAATAACCTGCAATTTCATAACAAACAGAATTAGATTCCCCAAAAGTTCTACAGATATGTAGAATTTGAAAAAAAGAGCATCTACTTGCACTAGTAACTAAACTTACCTCCAACTATAAATAATGTTCCAGTTATCAAAAAGTTAGCATACATCCATAAAATTAAAATAGCAAACAGTCCTACAATAAAAAGTCCAGGAGTGTAGCCCAAATACTGAACAGCAGCTACCGCAGCTCCCTGAAATATTGAAGCCACCGTCAGTGGCATTTAATGAAATTTCAATTTTAAAATACTCACTTGAATTGTAATCCCTGACAAGGCCAATGTATCTATAGGCCCTGTTGATTTCTAGAAATCCTATCAACTCAAACAACTTTATAGTGATATTTTCATAATAAGCTTTAATAAGTTTGAGATCCATGATTATAAATGAACACAAATGCTAATGGTCAAAATTGCAAATGCATGGAAGCAATCGAAAGGCTGAAAGTGGTCCAATAAGAAGGTTGCAAACATAAAATACACAAACACAGCATTAACATCTATCATTTTCCCCCAAGAAAGGAAAGAAAAAGGAGGAGGATTGTGGGCTAATTTAGAACTAAATGATGTAGCAGTTCTCAGCAACAGCAGTTCCCAGTAGTATGTCGTCAGCATATTTAGCGCAAGAAAGATTTATTAAGTAATGGTTTTTAAGAGGGGCAGCTAAAGGGCTAGGTGTCTCTCAGACCAGATAGCTAACATCATCTCCCCGACCAACTCTATCAGCAGGCCCTTTCTTTTGCAATTGAAGGAGACCAATGAGAAGGTTGTAAACATAAAACATCACCAAAGCATTAAGCTTTACCATTCTCTCCGAAGAGAATAAATGAATTTCACTACGACATCAGGAGCTTCAGACACTAAACCTATGAACATAAATTTCCAATAACTCTACACCTTGGATTATAATTTCTCACTATCTGCTGAATTCAATGTCTAGAATTTCTAAGGATTGTGGACTTCCTGAAAGGAGATCACAGTTCTTATCAGTCTGGGAACTGCTGGTTTATCTATAACTACAATTTTAAATTTATCACTTGTTATCTCCATTATTTGCACAAACACCTCTCTAAGACTTCAATTTTAACAAGTAATTATTATTTTTTAACCGAGAATAGAGAACTGTGCTTAAACTTAAATTTTTTCTCCTATAATCTCTCTTCTTCCGGTGAATTTCAGTCTTTAAGAGTTCTGAATACTGCATCACTGGAGTTGCTTGCCAAATTGGTGATTTGGCTAGCATGTTGGATTCATGGTCAAGTTCTCAGCCTTTCAGGATCCAGTTCATTAATGCTAATTTCGTTTCATGTAAAACCCATGAGAGCTTACACCATAATTGTCCACAAACTAGCTCCACCATTGGTATCATCAGAGCAGACAGTCCATAACTTCGCATTGCACAAAAACTAAATTGATCTCCACGTTGTCATGAACGATTTTAATCGCCCTCCACCTGACTTTCAAGTTTAATTACCCACAACTAGATTATGCCACAAATAAATGCGAACACCATAAATACAACTCAAAAAATGATGAATCAGAAATGCAGATTCAAAACAATCGGATCAAAAAAATAAGGGGAAAAACAAGAAGAAATGATAGCGACATGATCAGAAAAAGAAACAGGTGCATACAACAAGAAAAGTTAAATGGCTAAAAATAAGAAAACATACCATACAAAGTAGTACATAAAGCAAGGAAGACATTGAAGTGAGACTAAGAAAGCAACTCCACATTATAAGAAGCAAAGCCGCCGAACCCAATTTGATAACTGAATTAAAACCCCTCACAACACAATCTTTCCAATAAATCAACAATAAACGCATCAATCTTCCAAATCTTGCACATCCATTGCACACCATAGGCCAATGCCTCTCTATAAACACACCAATCTTTTCCCGCCAACGCCCCACTGCAGTTTTCGCCAGCCAATAGGCATGTTTCTGCGTTTGCAGCCATTTCCGCCCTCGCTTAACCAGCCCAATATCCTCCATTATCAAACTAGTAACTATATAATCAACTCCACAAAAAAACAAATAAATACAACCCACAACTCAAACAAGCATCTAGATCTTCACATAATACAGTCTGTTCATATCTCCATTGATATTACCCCAACATACTCCACCCCTCACACAATGCGAAGCTAAAAAATAAATGCTATCCATAGTGAGAGAGGCTTGATCTACCAAAACTACCAAAAAGCAGCCTCGATCAGGGAAGCTTCACAGGTTTCTTGAGGTTGCAAATAGAAACCAGTGAATTGAAGGTTCTCCTTTTAGCAGTGAGAGTTGAAAAAGAGAGAGACCCTCATGAGAAAACACTAAAATCTATCACGCTCAACACTAAATTTTGCTTCACATGATCGTTTTCAAAAAAGCAAGAAGAACCAGAATAATTCTCCTCCTTCATTTTTGACACTAATGTCTTTATCTGTCTCCTCTCTCTTAAGACTGAACTTAACTTAATAAGGCTAGAGAATAAAAAGGACCCAAAAGAGAGGGGGGGAAAAGAGCTAGAAGTTAACAGTAACTGTATTGGGGTGTCATAAGAACGCCAATTAGATCCCAAAAACTTTGAAAATAGCTAGAAAGATTGAGACTTTAGTAAGAAGAAGAAGAAGAAGAAACAACAACTAGGTACAGTTGGGTTTGGTGAGGTTCACATGATAGAGTGCTAAAAGCTAAGAAAAGACCACAAAAATGGGGTGACGGCAAGAAAAGGTAAAATGATGTCTTTAAAAGAAGGATTTGCAAGAGAGGATAAAGACCTTTTGGCTTTGGTGGTGAAGAGAGACAAGAGAACCCTAAACTTTTTTTACCAAGTGCAGAGAAAGCTCATGAAAGGAGAGACAATGAGCTCCAAAAGGTCTGGTTTTTTTTATTATTATTACAGTGGAGAAGGAAAGAGGGCTGATCGAGGACGAGAGAATTTACCTTCTGCTTTGTGTCGTGGATCGGAGGAGTTGGATGAGCGTTGCATTGCATAACAATGATGATTCAGTGGGACCACCTTGGAGTTCTTCTTTTTGGGTTAATGGTTAATAATTGCTTATGCTTTCAATTTTAGTAGAATGCATCCCTTTGCATGATTGTTGTTGTGGTAACAACTAACATCACCAGCTCTGTTTTCTTACAAATATTTTTAGATGTAATTTAAAGAAATATATATTTTATCATAGGGAGAAGATGATAAAACATATTGGTATGAAAATCATGTAATTTAAATTTATCCTGAGACACTTGAATTTACTAAAATCTTCGATAAAACAGATTATAGAAAGAAATACAAATACTTTGTGCTTTTTTATATAGTTTATTTTATTGTTTGAGTTTTAAATTATTTAAAATAGAGATTTAGAGAATTTACTATTCATGAGACAACAAACAAACACTACATTAGTTTTCTGTGATTATTTTTTTTAATGATCAAGAGGATATTTGAAAGTATAATTTATTTGTGCTTTTAAAAATTTTAAATTTTATTTTCAAATTAATTTTTGTAAGGTTTTGAATTTTTTTTAATATGTTTGTATTAAAAATAATTTTTTAAAAATATTATCTTAATATATTCATAATAAAAAAAATACATATTGCTGTTCTAACACTCCCAATAAATGTAATAAGTGATTAAAAAATGAAGTAAATTTTAAGAGATAAATCAACTGGTCAAAATTTAAATGTATTCTTTAATAATAATGAGTTTGAGTCCTCTTAAAATTATTACTATTAAAAACGCACATAATTATTAATATTAAGCTGATATGTACATCTAAGTTAATCATTAAAAAAAAAAAATGAGATTAATTTCAGGCAGAACCCTTTTGGCACCTATATCCACTCTATATTTTCTCGCCAGAAAAACAGTAGAACAAGATGGCCAATACTGCAAGCTGTCCAATAAATGGTTCAACTTACCCTACCATGCATGAAATTTGGTGAGAGTTGAGTAGCCATGGTCCACCGGGGCAGAGAGCCAGGAGACCTAAATCCCACAGGATATACAAATCCTGCATCCAACTGTGAGCAACTGAGCATAGGTGCCTCAGCCCTCTTAATCTCTTATAAATTTACTTTGTGGGTAGGTTAAACATTTTCAAAGGCAAGGAAAGCCAGGTGGAATGGTTGGTGTAGAAAACCTAGCAGAACCGATTTGAAATGGTTAGCACAGTGAGCCAATTTGAATTGGTTGGTGCAGAGAGTTAATCCCAACATGGACAGGTGGGAAGGGCAAATGGAAAGGGACAGTAAAGTAGAAGATGAAGAGAAATGGATAAAGCATTATAGCAGCACTCATCATAAAATACTATCAGTTTTATCTATCTTTTTCCTGCATATGCCTCAGAGCCTTTGGGTCTGCTGCCAGTATGGTTTAATATTATTCTTAGCATGAACCAAATATAAGATAGATAAAACTAATTAACAACGTTCCTAGTTGATTTGGGCCCTGTATGCATGAACAATCCTCCATGGAGTAGAAGCACACACTAGGAGGCACCACCCTTTTCTGCTTGGCAAATTCTTTGACAGGATAGCCTCTCCCCCTGCAGGTTTTCTTCATGGCTGGGTTGACAGCAACATGATCCAGATACAGTAAGCTTAGCGTATGTGAGAAGTCAAAGAATTATCGACATTTTACGCAATAATCCCAAAATTTATTATTGTTCTCGATAGAACACATCCTTCTCGGACAATGGAACATGCCATCTGAAGAAACCAATCAAGGGTGATTTTCTTAGAAAGGTAATTTATCCTTGGAAATTTGATTCTCTACTCCATATCCTGTCCACACTTGCTGAGGAATTACAAGGCCTGGTTCTTCAATTATTTGCTATGCGTGGATGTTCTATTAATGGAGGGTCATGTCAAAACTGTCAGATTTTCTCTTGACATTAGTGATCTTTGAAGTAATTTACAAGAAGGATCATTCTCCTGCTTCATGCCACATAACCTGGTTTGGGTGGAGAATTGATTAAATGTCCAAATACGAAACCACCATGCATGAACCTGGAGACTAATGAAACAGGCTTCTATTGGGCCAAGAAACTAGGCAAAATTTAAACCTGTCAGCAGTACTATGGAAGACTAAAAATCCCTTGGAAATGAAACTCGTCAATAACTCTCTATGAATCCCGATGAGTCTTCATTATGAGGGTGAGGGAAGTTGCCTGACCAGGCCTCCTGATTATATATCCATGCCAGGAGAAAAGGTTAAAGGTCACATACAGAACTGGCCATTTTCATCAAGGTCAAATATATATAGAAATATAGCCACTTGGAAATGCTTAATATTGATGATAACAAGGAAGAGAAATGGATAAGGCATTATAGCAGCACTCAGAAAATGCTTCTAGTTGGAGACGGTGATTTTTCTTTTGCTGTTTGCTTGGCTGAAGCCTTTGGCTCTGCCACTAACATTGTTGCCACTTCTCTATACTCTGAAGGTAACAATATTTCACCTGTCTCCGTATACATTTGTCTAATATTTGTTGGATGCAATCTGATTGATCCTGTACTTACAAAATTAAGAGATGATGAGGCTCAAGTACAGTGGAGCTGCATCCAACTTGAGAGAACTGGAGGAACTAGGATGCACTGTTATGCACGGAGTAAATGCACATACCATGAACAGTCATCCTCTTCTCACCCATAAGCTGTTTGACAGGATAGTCTATAATTTTCCTCATGCAGCTCTCAAAAGGAGTGAAGCAAACATTCGCCAAATTGAGTAAGTGAAGCTACAACTTCTAATTTATTACCTTAAGTGATCATTTGGGATTTTTCTCTTGTTCTTGAAGAAGTGCAGGAATAAAACTGTTGAGACCTGTCTACTCTCTGTGTCTTTTTATTTTTGATATTTTACTCTAAGGCCTACCTTATTCTCTTTGGAATAGACCTTCTTTCCTGTTAGCTCACAAAAACTAGAAATTTAAAAGCAATCCTGGACTTCCCTATGTGACCAAGGATTGACCTTGTTGGTTAAGTAGCTACAAGATTAATTGTGCATTGGCAAGTTATTTGAGTTTTGATTTGTGAACGATAAGTGAAATGCTATGTTGAATTCTGTCTTTAGAAGTCATCGAAGGTTGGTGAAGGGCTTCTTTAAGAGTGCAAGTGACATGATGGAAGAGAATGGAGAAGTTCATGTGACTCACAAGACTACAGATCCATATAGCAAGTGGGAAATTGAGAAACTAGCAGAACAAGCTGGGCTGTTCCTGGTTGAAAAAGTTAAGTTCAGAAAATCTGATTACCCAGGATATGAAAATAAAAGAGGATCTGGGTCTAGAGCTGATGAGAGTTTTCCTCCTGGAAACTGCTGTACCTTCAAATTTGGAAAGAGTACCAGTCTTTGACACTGAGCAACTTTGTCATTATATCCTCTCTCTATAAGAAGACTTGTGGAATGAAAATGATGTAATCTTTTCTTTTCCTGAGTTATTAAAGAGTAATCTAGGTGTAGAGAAAATAAAGGCATTTGACAGCTGCCCCAATTAAAATAAAAATAAATAAACATATGTGTATTGAAAGTTGAAACTGGGCATTAAACCTACATACTGAAATCAAATATCAGACCAAGGTCGCCTGCTAGGGTGCTAAAGGCTGCTACAGCATTACTACTAGCTCTAAATAGAAAAATAAGGGGACACAGTCTTTGTTCTGAGGTAGACATGCGCTTCCAAGTCATTCGTGGGGGGATAAAGACTAGTAGAATGCACTAGGTGGCTTGGAAAAGCTTTGTGCATCAAAAAGCAGTCGAGTAATGGGTTTCAGGCATTTCAGTACTTTCTTTCAAACAAGCAATGCTCGAAAGCATGGTTGGATGGCTGTTTTAAGATGAAAGTTCTTTGGTGGCTAAAATTCTGAAAGCTTGTCATTCTCAAATAGCTCTTTCATGGATGATAAAATTGCTCAATGCCTAGGCTTACCTGAAGTGGCATATGAGACAACTGGTTATACAACGAGCAGCGTGCTGCAGAGCGGGAAATGGAGCACGGGTTTGCATATGGATGGACAATTCGCACCTGGAATGATGAATTGTTCCAAGAGATTATTTTTTTCCTTTCAAGAAAGGCTTCGATTTGTGTTGTTGAGCTTGTATGTTGTGCAAACCTAGTGAGAAGATATTAAGAAAGAAATCATAAATGAGTTGAAGATCATCACAAACTAAAGAAGCACAGTGCAGAAAAGGCCAGAAAAAATAATGGAAATCCAAGACAGACAACAATCGGCAAAGCATACAATATATGCATGAAAGCACGGTAAAACAAAGTGTAGAAATACAGAACAGCTAAAACATCTTTGCCAATAATCAATAAAAGAAAAAAAAACATCCAATGATTTCGAACCAGAAGACAAAATCAAAAATACAAAAACAGAAACAACCACGAACCCTAATTCCTACACAACATGATAGAAAATGCGAACATTAGAACCCAGTGAAGGCAATTTTTGTTGGAAAATCCGATCGGTGATATAATGATATTTACTCATAGGAGGCCAAACACACTAACACAATATTTAACGTGGTACGGCAAATCGCCAACATCCACGAGAGAAGCCATTTCTTATATAAAAAGAATACAAGATTTACAACAATAAAGGAGAAGGAATCATCCACTCTTTAGCAACTCTCAACCTCACTCTATTTCTTTCTTCTCAGTACTACAATGACAGCTCACTCTCTCCTATATTTCTCACATCTTTGGCTACATTATCTTTCTTATTTTGCTCTTAAACAATGCTTCTATTTATAGGCAATTCATGGCAGACAAGAGGCTATAAACCATGACACTAATAGTGGCAACACATGAGTTACATCATTTTTTTCAATGGTGGTGCAACTACCATTATAGCCTTTTTGACAATGGTAACCCTACTTCTTAGGGTAGGTTGCATAATTTATTACCCATTAATGGCAAATCCCAGCAACTTCCAGCACAAAGTCGACACACGCACACAAAAGAACACAAAAACAGGGAAAAAAAGAGTGAGATTAAGAAAAAGAAAAACTAGGACACAAAACCATAAAACCTAGCCCAAACCCACAATAAAATGCCTACAACACACAAACCACCTCAAACATGAGCAAGCAAGCATGCATTAATTACAAATAAATCTTTAGCTTTTTACAAAAGGGGTTCTTGATCAGATCTCTATATGTTCATGCTAGAAGAAGAGGTCTGGATGTTACTCAAAATAGAACAGACCATCTTCCAAGCTAGGTACGTAGGTTATACAATAATGGATAGTTTAGAAAGCCAAATGTAAATTGATGTCTTGGTGCAATTACAAAAGATGGTAAAGTTAAAGTGTTGCAGAGTTGACTTAAAAGAGCTAGAGGAACTAGGATGCACTGTGAGAAGTAAATGCACGTAAAGTGAACGAGCATCGTATTCTTAATAACAAATTGTTTGACAGGATAACTCAACTGGAGTGTAGCAAATATTAGCCAAATCGAGTATAGTTCAACTAAAAAAAGTAATGTACCTTCATTAATAAGTCATTGGAGGTTTTGTTTTAGTTATTAAAGTAGAAGGGCAAGATAAGACAATGATTATGTAACTCAACTAGCTCTCATACCCCACTTTCCCTTAGCGATCTCGTGTTCTAGCCTCTTTCTAGTTTCCTTAGAAATAGTGAATGGAAAGAACTAGACACCTTTTTGGACTTTAGAACAACGCATATTAGAAGTTTTTTTTTTTACTTCAGTTCTAAGTTAAAGGTGATAATTAGTATGTTTGCATCTATTTTTGAAATTATAGAGGGTGGTGATGATATGAAACTTAAGTTTCAAAAACTACAGTTTTTAAATATAGAAGAAATAGATACAAAAGAGCAGAGTTGAGTAAAAAGATTGATACATTTTAATTAATTTAGCATGTTTATATAAAGGCTTACAAAGAACTTGAAACAAATAAAAAAACTTTCAACAATCTTGAGAGATTATTGGTTTATTAATAATAGATTCTGTAACAAATTCTGAGGTAGAATCTGATATGAAAATAATTACATTGAAATTCAAATAATTAACTTCACTTAACTCTATTTTCTATCTTCAAGGCAGATTCTCATAGATAGATTTTAACACTCCTCCTCGAGACTTGCCTTAAACAAAACAAGTTTCATCCTTATAAATTCCAGCCTTGATTTGGGAAGTGCTTTAGTCATTATATGAGCAAGTTAAACATCGGTTTAACAGTAATGAAGCCTTTATAAGTAGATTCTTCTTAGCTTCTCTTATAGAGTGAAATTTCACATTGATGTGCTTAGTTCTACCATGTTGAACCAGATTTAGAGCAATAGCAATGGCAAACTTGTTGTCACAATAAAACTCAGTTAATGAGCTTTATTCTTAATCCAAATCAGCAAGCAACTTGTTTAACCAAATTGTTTGATTTGCATTAGTTACCATGGAGATATACTATGTTTCTATAGTTGATTGTACCACCACCTCTAACATTTTTGCATTCCAATATATTGCACCAAAACCAATGTTGAAAATATAACCGGAAGTGTTTTTCATGTTATCAACACTCCTTGCCTAGTCACTGTCTATATATCCAATTAATTTTACTCATCTTGTCTCCGAGTACCAAATACCAAGGTTAGTTGTTCCTTTAATTTACTTCAACACCCTTTTAATAATAACTCCTATATGAATATTGCAGAGTGAGCTTATGAACCTTGACAATAAACCAGCTGGAAACATCAAGTTAGGTCTATTTATTGTTAAGCATAGTAGGCTACCGACCAAGCTTTAAAATGCAAAGGGATCTTCAAGTTTCTTACCATTATTCTTTGAAATCTTTTCATTTTATGCCAATGGATTTGCTACTTTTTTGCATGATTCAAGCTTGAGTTTCTTAAGTATATCAACAATATATTTCATTTGTGAAATAGAAATGCCTGAACTATATTGATGTATTTCCATTCCAAGAAATTAGTTCATTATGTCAAGATCGACATTTCAAAAATATCTTGCATTTCTATTTTGAACTTTGCCAGCAATTTTGCATTGCTTTCAGTAACTAGCATGTTGTCAACATAAAGTAATATTACTAGTTGTAGACCATCTTCATCTTATTTCAAATACAAAGTAGCTTTATTTTCACTTCTCTTGAATCTTAGTTAAATCAAATGAGTGTCAATTATGTTGTACCAGGCCTTTGGTGCTTACTTCAAGCCATAAAAAGCCTTATGTAGCTTGTATACTTTGTGTTCATTACCAGCAACTACAAAGCCTTTTGGTTGTTGCACATAAATTTTTTTAAGGAGTATTCCATTTAGAAAAGCAAACTTAACATCTAAATGATAAACTTTCCATTTCTTTTGACCTGCAAGTACAAGTAGAAGTCTTATAGTATCATGCCTAGCTACTGGTGTAAAATTATCACCATAATCCACTCCAGTAATTTAAGCAAAGCCTTTAACAACCAATCTAGCCTTGTGCTTGAAGATTGAACCATCTGGACTGAATTTGGTTCTGAAGACCCACTTTACACCAAATTCTTTTTTATCTTTAGGAAGTTTAGTCAATCTCCAAGTTCTATTTCTTTCAATGGAATGAATTTCTGATTTCATTACTTCAATTCAAGCTAGAACTCTTATAGTTTCAGTGTAGTTTGTAGGCTTAGCATGTACAAAATTACATTTTTCATACACATCAGACAATGGCCTCACCTTAAGTATTGTTGTATCTGAAGTTGCTTCAATGTCTGGTTGATC